TCCCCCGAACGGACTTGAGTGGGGTTGCCTTGTTGTTGTTATCATCGGATGGAGCTGAATTACTTTAAAGAAAACTTGTTTTGACAGGCGATTATCAACAAAGTAGGAATAATCTGGTAGCGGCGTTAAGTAATTACACTTTTTCAAAGGTCTGAGCTTAGATGAGGAATGCAATGTAGCTTTATATAAGCAGGAACAGCAAAATGCTTGAACAATACATATCCTTTACTTGGTGATGTTGCACTTCCCGTCTTCCTTTGGAGATAAAAGCTAAAGATAAGTGAATAAAACTTGGTAACCTGTATCCTTAGGACAACACGAGATCTAAATCCCTCTGATGAGATTAAGCTTAATGCTCTGCATTTGGCACAGCCTGAGCAATTCAAATACGGCAGAAGTTGATGGGTTGGTTTCTGCTTTGAATATGTGGTCCATGATTTGATTATGATTATATCCACTTCACGCGTGAGTTAACACCATTAAAGTCCTCTTCCTGACTGTGCTTCGTTAAAACGTGCTGGTGTTTTTGTTAGAGACCAGTGAGCTGCCCCGCTGTGGTGCCAGCACGTGCTGAAAAGCCAAGCTGCTCCCAGGGATCTCGGTTGTCTTGCTTGAACTTGAATTTGACTGCGCGCTCTAATAGCATTAGATAATAAGTCTTTGTTAAATTTGTTGCTGCTCACTCGCTCAGGAGATGGCTTTTGCTGCTGCTGGCTTCTTAAGTGATACCAGCTAAGCAAAGGTTCAAACTCCAGGCTCTCATTCCTGTATACATTCAAATTGGGGAAATAGTTGTGCCATAAATATCACCACCAGACTTTTGAAATTGGTGTTGTTTTGGCATCTGCGTGAGAAGTAAACCCAAAAGAAGAGTAATTTCTTTTTCTTTCCAATCTGCTCAGTTTGAGCTTGTTGCTTCCAAAAACACCTGTAGAACAGCAAAGAAGAAACTGGCTACAAGAAGTAAAAGCCATTCGATATTCCATTCACACTGCAGGTTTTGAATTGTTTCGGTGCTCAAGGTATAAAATGGAGTGTCAGAAAGGAAAGTAGTCCCTGTGCCTGTCAATATTAACTATAGTAATGTCCTTGCAGGCTGTTAACGCCACAGGGGTTTCAGTCACTGTCTTAGGGCAAGCTTATAGATTTATTCCACTTCCTTTTCCTTCTGTAGCACTATCTACATCAGGAAATGGTGGAATATGTTTTGTGTCTAATTTCAGTGAATGTAGAAAGAAGAGACATTATTGATAAAGATAAGACCATTTTGGTGGAAAGTAGTGGACCTCTGATATTTGCAGATGAATTAACAGGGAAAAAATATTGATGGTGCTTCAAGCCTTGGTCTTGAAAGTGTGTTTGTCCATTCTTAACTTTATTGCAATATGGAGTAATAAAGTCAATGAAGTCAGTGGGAACATGGTATAACCCACTCCCAAAGTAAGAAAAGTCTTACATGATTGACGTGTCGTCAGTGAAGATTCCAGGGAAAAAAATACAGTTTTTCACTGAAGCTCATGAAACTGAAGTTTATGATTATAATCACTTTTTAAAAAAAGGATTTTATGGGATTTTTTTAGGGTTATATAGTCCTTGTTGCCAAGATAATTATCACTGTTCGATTTCCATTTGAAGAAATCAAAGGCTGCTATTTTCAGCTGGAGATGACTCTCTTGAGTTTTGGAAGTGTGTATTTTGTAGGAATGAAGTATAAAGTATAAATATATATATTTATAAATATATATACACAGTACACTAGTGAAGATCAGTCATCCATCTTTGATAAGACTTCTTTTCCCCAAGTCATCTTCAGCTATAAAGCTGGATTTTGATGTGGCAAGAGTGATGTACAAGTTGTCTGTGAGATGTTTCATCTTCCTATTGGCTTCATCGTTGGGTTCTGTATCTACCTACCAGTCAGTGATACAGATCTTGTCTCTTACAGTGCCTACATTATGCTTTCTGGCCCTGCTAATGCAGACATAACCACCAAAGCAATTTTTTCCTTCTTTTGTAATGCAGAAGTGTCAAGTTGTACGAAAGAAATGAGGTGTGATCAAGATGAGCATTAGTCAGCAGTGGGTGCTTGTGGCAGTGAAAAGTAACCATGTAGTGGCCTGCATCATCAGGACTGTAGCTCACAGGTGAAGGGAAGGGATTATTACTATTATTGTTATTACTCAACACTCTTGAAGTCACTTGTGGAATGTCCCAGATTTAGGTCCCTCGATACCGGAGAACTGCTGACAAACAGGATTGATACCAGAGGAAGCTAAGCTATGTGAGGCTGGAACACAAGGGGGGGAAGAATCCCCTTCCTAAGGAATTCCTGAAACTTGACTGGATGAGACCCAGAACAACCTGATCTAATTTAGAAGTTACCATTGCTTTGAGCAAAGGGTTTCACTAGAACCTCCAGAGGTTCCTTCCAACCTAATTTTTCTAAGGCTTCATACTTTTCCCTGCCCAATTATTCCTTAAAGAAGCCAGTTCTTTCATGACATTCAAAATGAAATTAACTTCTTCAGTGATGGGAAGAGGCGAACGAGATCAAAGAAACCAAATAGCAGATATCACACTCTGATCTGTAGTTTCAACACACTACTACTTGTTTGTGTCTAAAATACATGTTCATTGTAAAAAGTCCATCTCTTATCTGTGTCCTATATGGCACTGTTGTTACAGGAACATAATCAGTAAATAAGGTTGGAATATAATCCCTAACTTCTGGAATCTTGCAGACTTAGAGGAAGGGGAAGGCATTAGTGTTTATAAGAAGCCATGTATGATGCAAGGACATTTGATAGTAAAAAGCGACAGAAGAGAAGCATTTCAGAATGAAGAAGTGACAGTAGAAGCAGTGAATATGAAATGTTCAAAAGGATAGTAGAAACAAGTGAATAGTGTTCTGTTACTGCCTGTTCATTATTCCTAAACTGAAAGGGTAAGAAAATACTACTTTGGCTGTAGATGTTAATATGAGCTGACTTGAATGCTGACGACTGAGTCACTGGGTCAGCGGCAGCGCTGACAGTGCTGTTCTGTGGAAAAAAACCCCCAATGTTTAATGCCTCTGTTGTAGTTCAAGACATCAAGGACCTGCCATTTTAGAAGCTGTTACACTGTGAGGCTATGAAATCGCTGGCTGTCATCCAGCGCTTTGTAGCACGGAGATACCTTCAATGTAAGTCAGGGATTGCCCTGTCAAAGCAACTTTGTATGAAAACCTCTGCAGGGCAAATCTGCCAAGTTAAGATTGCTAGTGTTTGAGTAGGTCTGTGTTTTTCTTCTCAGCCTCAGGGCTGAGCCTTAATTCTTAATTTCTTCCTGAAATGTTATCTGCATGTTATTTTGAGAGTGATCGTGTTGATTTATCTGTGTTTCCAGTTTCTTCACTTGAAATGGATGTCAGCTGCCAACTAAGGGAAATGATACTTGAATTTTTTAGCATGGCAGGATATGGAACTCAGTACCCCAATTTGTAACGTGCTTTTTGAAGTTGTTGCTATCTTTTGAATATTCCAGTGGATACTCATCTGAACTTTTCCCTTTTCCACTCTAATTTCTTTCTAGTTCAGACTCTCTGTGGTCACTAAAAGAGTGTTTTTTCACTTCTTATTTTTATTGAGGTACTTTCTTTCAAGTATCCTATTGTAGAATATGGTGGAGCTTAAGATACAATAACTAATATATCATGAAGGTGAGTATTCCTTCTAATTTTTTCTATGATACTCAAATGTCAGGAAGACTACTAGGGCAAATAAGCTGAGATGTTCTGGTGGAAGATTGGCTTCAGTGAAGCAGTAGAATGTTGTATGTTGTAGCTATTTTAAAAAGTAGGGAAATAATGAGAGAGGCCAGCACTGGTTCTCAAGGAATATTTTAAATACAAATAATACTGTTGCATCACATCTAAAGGTAAAAGCAGCATGTATGCTTCATCTATATTTGAATCAGTTAGCAAAAAGTTGAAAACGAAACAGCTTTTTAGTCGAAGTGAGGCTTGCCTTTCCTGTTTCCAAATATCCGTTGACTAAACAAAGCTTTTACTTGCTCTTTTGACCTTGCAGGAAGAATTAAAATTGCAGTGAAGTAATTGAAAATGCAGCTATTTGTCTCACTATATGGTCAAGAATACAAAAAGTGCTCCCAAGTACAAGGAAATCTCCTCTTCTCATAACTATCTCCACAGTTTTTTTCATAGCGTGGCAGCAAGGGCCTCCAGTGCAGTAGTACTTTACAAAGGTGCCTACGAAAAAATGTTACAATTTTGTGCATGCTTTTGGGATGCCTGTTCCACTTAGGCATAAGTATACAGAGAAATTTTCATGGCTTCATGTTGTACAGTGTGTTAAAATTATGTTTACTGTAACAGTGATTGTTGTTTAATTGCCTTATGAAGTGAAAAGTTGTCTTGTGAAAGCTTGTGTGGTGTGGTGTGTTCGTGTGGTGTGGTTTTTTTTAATTTTTTTTTTTTTTTCCCCTGTAGGGGAAAAATGTAGCTTTTCCTAAACTGGAACAAAGACTTATCTAGGGAGTTCAGCTGTTTTTCTTTGTTTTCATTTATTTGTTGCCTGGTTTCTCTTACTATCAATGTTTAAGTGTAGCTTAAGTATATCCTAACACTTCAAAGGAGGAAATAGTGTATTTGATATTTGCTAATTTTCTTATGCCAAAGGCACAATATTCATATGATGCATTTTGAATGATGAAGAATGATTCTTTACCTACTGAAAATATCCAGACTATTTCCCTTGTATGTATATGTATATATGTAAAGCAAGAAATTAGAAGGAAAAATTAATTATTTAGGAAGAAGAAAAAATGTATTCTAAACCCACAGTTTTAGGGGTAGAGACAAAACAGGGCTAAAAAGGTTTCTATCAGGATGAGTGTCAACTTAGTGGTTATTTTTTGCTTTGTTTTGTGTTTTTTTTGTAGGGTACTCAGAGAAAACCCAAAAATCTTCCTCCCCTTGATCCAGAAGTTCTTTCTGTATTTGTGCCTCCATTTATCAGCAGAGACGATACTCAGGTGACTAACACAAGTGGTAATAACTTGAATAAAAGTAAACGCCGGTCTTTCCGAAAGAAGAAAGAGAGACCAAAGATTGAAAATGTCAAGAGTATCAATGGGGAGCAGAAAGCATCTGACACTGAAGATGTTACAGTTCCAAAGGACATTGATCTTATCGGTTTGCCGCAGCTATGCTTCCCAGGTACGGCAGGATTCACACTCCTTAGTGAGAACTGTTTTCATATATTTTCATTGACCCATAATACAGCCATTATTTTTTTTTTCATGATCATCTCTATCTCTTTGTATTTCACAGTAGAAAAAAATGTGTCTGTGAGCAGGTCAGTGATGAAAGCAGCTGTTACTTGAATGAGGTGCCCTTACTCTGTATGGCTGTGTGAAACGATTCCATCAGCAGTAGTAGCTGCAATACCTGCAGGAGAGGGAAGCTGAAAGTCACTTTAACCCTTATTGGTAAATCTTAGTTTGAGTGAAGTGCACACATGCACACGCTTTTAATTTTATTTTTTTCCCCCCAAAAATGATGGAGTGCTCTTTAACTTTTCAACTGGTATTAAGATATACCTGACTGTTTCTTCCAGGTTTAATTGCAGAAATTTTAATATGCATGTCACTATTGTAGACCTTATAAACATCTTGAAAGGACAAAAAAGTGAACAAAACCCATCTATTGTATTTTGCTATGTAAAAAGCAGAAAAATTATGTAATATTTTTGCGTCTTTAGTAATGTGCAGCTTACAGCCTTTGTAACAACCCTTAGATCAAATGGATTGTATGTGTGCATTTTAATCCCTTTAAAATAAGATATTTCTCTTGAAATTAAGTGGAAATGTGCAGTATTTGTCATGAATTGCTTTTCAAGCAGCTGTAGTTAAATATGTAGTTTAAAAAAATGGTTTCTGCCTTTGTTGCAGGAGGACTTCATATAACTTCTGAATCAAAAGAGGACCACATTCATTTCCTGGTCTTCACAGATGTCTGTGGTAACAGAACATACGGTGTTGTTGCACAGTACTACCAGCCTATGCAAGTATGTTATTTAACTCATGCTTTTATTAAAGCATATTAAAGGATATAAAATGAAACAAAGCACTTTGAGAATAATGTCAGGTTTAATTTATGAAGTTAGTTGACAGATATGTTTTTATGTTAGTAGGAATACAGAACAAATCATACTTTATATTGCCGTTGTAAGTTAAGTACAGTGCAACATCACTGCATTAGGAAAAACTGTTACAGATTTCAGTTAGGAGTTTTGAGTATTTAGGAGCAGACTTTGTCTCTTGGACATCTTTTTTTGGTGAAGATTGTGCCCTGTGTTCTTTCTAAATGTCTTTTTCACTGAAATTCTTTTTAATATGCATGTCTAAGTCTTGTAAAAACTGACATTTTTCTGACGAGCTTAAGGGAGATAGGCATCCAAATCCCCTTGAAATTTAGAGGGAATTGGCTATCCTGTTTCTAGGGTTCTTAATCATTAATTTATGTCTGATATTTTCTTAACATAAACACATTAATCTGTAGTTTTCTTGCAGGATGGCTGTATTTCCTCGAATGGACAGGCCTATTGGGAATCTGCACAGCCCGGGAAGATGCCAGTGTGTTTCATACCATTCGCTATTTGCGTTATATCCAGATATCCATATTTTAATGCCCTCAAGGATTGTCTGTCTTGGTAAGACTTGCTATCCTGTGTGTTTCTCCTGGAAAGAACTGTGCAGGTTTTAATACATGAATTTGCATGATGTGGTCAGGATAGCTGCCTAATGCTAAAACAGGCATTAGTTTTAAGTTACTGTAGCGTGAGATGTGTGGGAGAGGAAAGGAAGAAATGTGCTTACTGTCTGGGTTAACATTCACGTTACAAGTTCTAAACGTCAAGGAAATCGGTTATGATGTTGTCTTCATTTTCTTTGAGGTTTTTGCTAAGTCTAGAAGATACTAATTTGCCAGGAACAGATTTCTCAAAAATTTTGGGTTTTTTTGGAAGAGGGTTAACTATAATTTTACCACACTGGTGAAAATTGCTTTGCAAGTGCAAAATCCTCTTTATAATGCACCAAATAAATGTTATAGGAGCATGTATATATGTATTAACAAGGAATTAATGGCACTTTAACGAAATAAACCTCTTGAGGGGGTTACAGTAGTTACTCGTCTGTTGTAGAACTAGGAGAGAGAATCTTAGGATACAGAGTGCTTCACTGGTTAGAAACACTCAAATAATATGCAGTATATATGAGTTAAAAGATAAATGAACATGGTTCTGTCTTGTTATTTAGTAATTTAACTTATTTTGAGGTTGTGCGTTGCTATTATTGTTAATTTGTAAAATCCATGTGCTTCTATTCTGAAGTGGATTAAAAACTCCTTGCATCAGGGAGCCTGCCTCTGTATGTTGGACATTACTGGGTAATCTTCACTTGCAGACCTATAGTCCAAAGGTAGAAGAGTGTTTTTTCACTACATTCCAGTCAAGCTTTCTAGAGTCAAATTTGAGGTCAGGTGTTTTGCAGGATTTTGCGTCTTATATTGAAATAAAATGTCTGCTTAATAACACTTTGATGTTATTGAGTTTAAACTTCTTAAGTTTGAATTTCTTTGAATCATTATGTAAGTTGAAAGAGGTTAGGGTGTTAGGTCAGGGCTTGAACTGGCTGGCAGCCGGTATGCTGAGCAGATGAGCAAGCAAGGGGATGCTTGCTGGGTACTAGCTGAGGTGCATCATGAGCCCCTAACCTGACTCCATACCAGGATAAGACTTGAGCATTCATTTCCATGCCACCTGTGCCTTTTCTTCCCTGTGCTGTGGGCTTGGATCTGGTTGGAGCACTGACTGGCGTTCGCTGGTTTAGACGAGGAGAGCCCTGGAGGAACAAAAGCAGTGCTTTCCTCTTGGGCAGTTCAGATGTTGCCTCCAAGCTGTGATACCAGAAATGAGTCGCTCTGGCAGCCCTTCAGCATGAGCAAACACACCCCTGATGCTGTTCATGCTACCTCTGCTCGGTTGTTTTCAAAGCATTAGTAAAGGGGTTTAATGTGGGCAAGCGACTTCAACATGATGGAAGCTAGGTATTCACAGGTTAGTGCGAAATAGAGATAATCAGTAAAATAAAAAGGAAATGTTAGTTTCCCTTTCTCCTTTCCTGCCCTGATCACTTTTTCCACTCCTTATGTTTCATTCAATTACATCAGCTGGTGGTATTGTGGGAGCTGATTCATTGCTGCCTTTTTATAGTCTCAAATCTCAAGTAAATGCTAATCTGCATATGTAACTCTTAACAGCTATATACCTGAGCTGTGGGGCTTTACTGTGTATATCCAGTCTTTATAATAGGATTCATGCTTCTTTTATACTGTGAACTCAGCCTGTCTGAGGGCTCACTACACACTAGCTTTCTACTGATTGGGAAATAGTATAGATTCAGCTTTACAGTTATGGTGTTCATCAGTGGTTTATATAGAATATTCATAAATGAGTAATCTCTTCTCTGAGGTGAGACATCTCTGAGCTGGAAGAAGCAGTCAATTTGCAAACGGAATTTTAAATCGCCCACTAAGGGAGAGATGGGAAAATATTCAGGAAAACCACGGAAAATTCCAGAGGTTACAAAAATGTTTTTAGGTTCCTTGTATTTGTTTAGAGCAGACAGGAACCAGGTGGAGTTAACTCTCTAGAGATGCAAGCTTCTGCCCCTAGGGGGGGTATTTTAAACATTATAATTAAACATTTCTGCCTTGATCATACATTGTAGGTTTTTGCACCTGTTTAAAGCATTAATGTTGAAGCTCGCTAGCTACTCTAGATCGCTTTTCCCTTTAAGCTGAGTCTGTACTCATTTCTAAAGGGAGTTCAAATTTATCAGTAACCTACTGTCTAAGCTTTAAGTCATTTGTAAATATGCATATAATTGTGGAGGAGTTGTCAGCAGGACAGTAGCCTTCCGCGTTAGTGCTGTGTGTTGTCCTGGTCGTTTAACAGGGGAGTTTGTCAGACCCTTGCACAGCTCTTCTCTCTCCTTTTTGCTGCTGCATCTAGATGCAAGATGCAAGTCTGTGTAGCTGGCAGGAGAGGGGGAATGCAAGTGACAAAGCTTGCTGAAGCTTTGTCCGAAGGTTGTCCAAAACCACGACAACAAGAAAGGGAGTTATTTTCATTACATGCCTTAGCTGTAATCAGGTGGTCAGTGGATTGAAAATCTAATTAAATGTTTTTGTTGACCAAATGTACTCAAGTAGCACTGCCTCATATACTTAACAAATAATAACATGTTCAATAGTGCGCTTGTGTCCTTGGTATGCTTCAGTGGTATTTTGCAGGATGCTTCAACTGATTCATCATTCCTTGAGTGTGGGGATTTGAAAACCAGGTCCACTTGCTGGTGGATCTCAAACCACCTATTTCTAGTGTGTAGCCCTTTCCTTGTGAGAACTAGTGGAAAAATACTATTTGCTATTGCTGACGAAGGCCTGATGTTGAAGTAGCAACTAAAGGGGTTCTGCTTCCATTCAGGACCTTTTTGCAGCAAAAGATTTCATTTTCGTCCAGAATTCTGCTGTGCGTAGCTTACTTTCTCCAGCACCTGCATTGCACAGGACTGCTTAAAGGGGGGTGGTACTTGTTTTCATTCAGAAAAGTCCTCAAAGTTATTTTGTCATAAGCATTCCCAGAGAAAACCCAGGTTCCTAAACTTTTTCAAGTGGTATAGTAGAAATCACAACTGAAAACTTGAGACCAAACTGAGATACAAAGGCAACCTTAAACTATAAATGCATGTAGGTTCTTTGAACTGAAGGGGAACTTGCAAACTTTCATCATAGTAACAAAGGTAATATTCTGTGTAATTAATTCATATTCTGTGTAATTAATTTTACAACTAATTCACATGTTACTAGTATACAGTGCTTCCAAATCCAGAACAATGTGACTGGAGTATGGCTGCCTCTCTCCAAAACAAGCAGATGTGCATCTAGACTGTTTCGCAACATTGCGGCTGTTGGGTTATTCTCATAGTTATTTGAGAAGTTTCAGATTTAAATTGAGAGGTTTTGGCACTTTGCACAGGTAGTTTTACCTCAATCTGTTACGCTACATGAAAAGTGAAAAATTCCTGGCAGTAATTTCCTTTTGGATGAACTTCCGTCTTGGATGCGTGAATAGGCTCCATTCAAACAGTAAATCTTCCAACCTATGTGTTAGCCCTTTCAGTTGCCTTGAGAAGAGGTGGAAGAGTGCAAATAGCTCACAGCGTTGAGGCAGTACAAAGGACCTATTCTTCGATGTTCTTGCTTTCTGAAACATCTGTTTGTGGACAGTTAATAGAGGTAATGGAAGGTTCATAAACTCCTTAGCTTTCTGCTTTAATGTTTCAGAGGTTACTTCATTTATTCCAGCAGAGATTTGCAGTGCAGAGCTGTCAGCTGCTATTACATTGCATTAATGGGCACAGTGTACTGATTAGGGAGCTCTTGCATCCTTTCTGTACATCTGCTGCCTTTTCACCATCGAGGTCAGGTGGTTTCTGTTGTAACATTTACTGGATGTGTTGACGTGTGCTTTTTTTTCTCAAAAAAAAAAAAAAAAAAAAAAAAGCACAGGTCTACCTATGCTGTAAGGCCACATCTAAGGCATTACTAAGTGTGACAGCTTATTTGTTTAAATTGGTGACTCCGCTGTCTGATTTTCTTTGATAATTCTTAAATTCTCCTCCCTCTGCCTCCCCTGTGTCCCAAAATAACTGATGGATTTTTCTGGGATATGTGTAACAGCCTAGTACTCAGCCCAGAACAGTTTCCAAATGTGAATTTAGTAAACTTAAATGTCTCATCCAATCCAAAGCTCAGTAATATATGACAATATTTTTATTCAGGAATCTAAATGCCATACACACATGCGATGTCCTGGATTCTAATATATCTCTTGACCTACTCAGTTGCTTTCTAGACCACTTTCTTCGTGAAGAGCAAGTAGTAGTCTGCGGGGAAACCAGTAAAACTGCAAACTGAAATAAAACCTCAAGGGAGAATATAACCATATTAAAATTCCTAGTTTCTGTATATATAGATTTGCAGGCTTACATTTCTGATTTTGTAAAGGTTTAGGGTCTTTTTTTTTTTTCCATAAACACGCACATGAATCTTACACTGAACAAAATGCACTTTCTGACTACAAATACCTAACTTCTTAATTGTTACATTTCAGAAATGCTGTTGGACTTAACATTTTGCAGTCTTAATAGCGTTTATGTTTAAGTGTTCATGAATTGATCTGGCATGTAATATAAACTGCATGACATTTGTGGCTTTGCCCCAGCTAGGTTAATACAGTTCTAAACTAGAAACATTTCATACGTTTACACAACTGTATTTGTTTTTCGTAGGGGCAGGAACAATAGCAAAGAGCAGTGTTCATGCAGGCCTAGGTCTGGCTCTTGTTCCACATTCCTCTGCCATTAAGCCAATGTCTACAACCTCTCTTTTCCTCTGATCCTGTTTTCTATCCCAGAGCTGATGTCTTATTGTAGTGGTTTGACCCCAGCCCAGCCGGCAACTAAGCACCACGCAGCTGCTCGCTCACTCCCCCCGGTGGGATTGGGGAGCGAATTGGAAGAGTAAAATGTGAGAAAACTTGGGTGTTGAGATAAAGACAGTTTAATGGGGAAAGCAAAAGCTGCGCGTGCAAGCAAAGCAAAACAAGGAATTCATTCACCGCTTCCCATGGGCAGGCAGGTGTTCAGCCATCTCCAGGGAAGCAGGGCTCCATCAGGCGGAACAGTTCCTTGGGAAGACAAACACCATCACTCTGAACTTCTCCCCCTTCTTCCTTCTTCTTCCCCCAGCTTTACATGCTGATCATGATGTCATATGGTATGGAATATCCCTTTGGTCAGTTGGGATCAGCTGTCCCAGCTGTCTCCCCTCCCAGCTTCTTGTGCACCCCCAGCCTCCTCGCTGGTGGGGTGGTGTGAGGAGCAGAAAAGGCCCTGACTCGGTGTAAGCACTGCTCAGCAATAACGAAAACATCCCTGTCTTATCAACACTGTTTTCAGCACAAATCCAAAACACAGCCCCATACTGGCTACTAGGAAAAAAATGTAACTCTATTCCAGCCAAAACCAGCACACTGATGCTTGGGGGGGAAGAAACACCATGGCACTGTGTTGCAGCAATCTCTGTAAGGCGCTTCCTTTAGCTGCGTCTCACCTGTAGGTTTTCTTTGCCATCGTGAGACCCAGTGCACCATCTGCATCCTTGAATAAATATGACACAGTAGTATGTTATGCATGGAAGTAAAAAAACCTGCTTCTGACACAGCATCATCATTAAAATTAAATGGAGCTGCTAAAGTATCTAATAAATTGTAAATTATTTTACTGGGAATAATAGCTTTATTGCTTCTAATATTTTATTTTTTTTAGTTCTAAGTTATCATCAAAAAGGCTTTTTTTTTTTCTGTTTGCATGTTACTATTTATGAATAATTTTCTGTAATTGAATTTCAGCTTACTAGTGCAACTGCGACCTTTCAAGGATTTAGATGTTGAGGAGCACGTAAAGGAGTTTGCAGCAAAATTATTTTTAATACCCAGCCCGCCACCAGGACCACTCCACTTGGTAATTACTGATGCTGAATTTCATAATTACGTTAACATTATGTGTTATAAAGCACTAAGATGTTGTTTTCTGTAGATTGGGGGACATTATTCATTGTCAGGTCAGAGACTTTACTTGCAGATATAAAACTGATCTCAATATCTGTGCTTTGAAAATGAGGCTATGCATTATTAGTATATAAAACAACAGGGTGACCAGGGTGCAAGCTTGAGCACTGGAATGCCAGTTGGTCATGCTGTTGAATTTTTAATACCCTTCTGGGAAGGATTTGGCTTGTGCCAACTAGTTACTGTCCAAGATGATGCCTGGGTAGGTCTGGGGACAGCATAATATAGCTTTTGGTTTCTAGGGATCAGCACACATAATCTCTACTACACGCAGTTGGAAGCTTCAGTCTGTAACTGGTCTGTAGGAGTGGAAGCTTACCTTTCACCTGAACAGCATACCATTGCCATCTCATGGAATACACATGGATAAACTCCAGTCAGTCGTGTAACTATCACTCAACCACAATGTTCCCTATCTTGTGTCTGGTATCAAGACGTGCTGCCTGATGTGAATGTTCATTGCTGTCATCACGGTTGTGTGATGGGTGGATGTGCAGCTGTGTGACTGAGAAGCAGTGCAGTCCCTGTGAGAGAAAAGAGGCCAAGGAAATCAGTTGCTGGAACAACACATACAGCTCTGGACTTGTTCTTTTCTTGTGTCTGAATGACTGGGGAAGCAGAACAGTGTGTAGTGGGTTGAATGTTCTGGATTGGCTGCTGCCTGGATAGGACCTAGCTGAGAGGAGAAACTCGCATAAACAGTTGTATTCATTGTAGAAGCTGAGATGTATGGGCTGTATTTTTTTTTATAACCCTTCCCAAGTCAAGCTATATGTTAGCTGAGTCAATGATTTCAGCACACACTCTTTTGTCTACTGAAATGGCTTCTTAGGGAAGCAGTGCTTCAGCCCTGGACTTCTCCTTAGCTGCTTTCCTAGGGGTTAGGAATGGAGGAAAAAATAGCATAGCTGGAAAATTGTCTGACTGGTTGGCTAAAACAACTGCTAAGAGTTGAAATATGCAGCATGTGCAGGATCTGGCCCCAGAGATTTGAGCTGGAGTATTTGAAACACTGAAAGATCTCATTTGTTTTCGCTTGTTCCATCTTCTTAACGTGAACACCTATACTGGGTCCTTTTGTTCATATTTTTTTCTATTTCACTATGAATTTTACCAATACTTTTTGATTTCCCAATTATATCTATAAATATAAACTCCATTATTTTGTTATGCTTATAACAAAGCAAGTTTAATTCTATTAAAAGAATATATTTTTTTAAGTTTTATTGGCTAAACAACCTATGAGAATGAAAGGAGATAAAGTCCATGTTAATATTTCAAGCTAGTTACTATGTCTTTTAATATTTCCCTCTCCTTCTATTTCAGTTTCCTGCAGTATGCAAATACCTGTTTTCTTGCTCTCAATTAATGTTAATATTTTGTAGTTGGAACTAAAATCCTGAATGAAATGTGTTGTGGGAACATTTTCATTAAGAAGTAAATGGAAAACATCTGTTATTACAGGTATTTAATATGAAACCACTTCAAATAATAATTCCTTCACGAGAGGATCCAGACAGTCCAATTATTGACTTGGATCTTCATCTTCCGTTGCTGTGTTTCAAGCCAGAACAGGTGCTGCAGGTATAACTAACTGATACTTTAAAATGTATTAGAGTTTGACAGTACTGGTAATTTGTGGTTTTAAAAAAAATTCAAGATGTTTAGTTACCCAAAAAATGTTATAAACCCAGGAATTCAGAACATTGTTAGTTCTCCATGTTAATGATATGGCACAATAAAATATACTACTTATTAAGATACTGTCTTATTTATAAACCAGATTAGATTAAGTCATACTGGATTTCTTTCTCCTGTTGTTTAGCAATAGGTGCTAAATTTCTTACAAGTGCATTTTAAAATCAAAGAATCATGGAATAGTTTGGGTTGGAAGTCCCTAGTCCAACCTCCTGCCATGAGCAGGGACATGTTGGACTAGATCGGGTTGCTCAGAGCCCCGTCCAACCTGACCTGCAGTGTTGCCAGGGATGGGGCATCTGCCACCTCTCTGGGCAACCTGTGCCAGTGCTTCACCACCCTCACTGTGAATCTCTTCTCTTTTAGTTTAAAACCATTACTCCTTGTACTGTTGCAACAGGCCCTGCTAAAAAGTTTGTCACCGTCTTTCTTCTAAGCCCCCTTTAAGTACTGGAAAGCTGCAGTAAGGAGTCCCTGGAGCCTTCTCTTCAGGCTGAGCGACCCCAGCGCTCTCAGCCTGTCCTCACAGGAGAGTTGTTCCATCCCTCTGATCATTTTTGTGGCCTCCTCTGGACCCAACCTGATTGACAGATTTTATTTTGAATTCTCATTACACACATATTTTTACAAGATTCATAAGAATCTTTTTCATGTGTAAGAAAGGGCCCTGTTAGGTGGATTGGTAACATATAAAATAAAGTGTAAATGGTGTAGAAACAAGAAAATACAAAAAGGTATTTGCACAGAAATTTTTCAGTGCTTCATAGAATCGTACAATAATTTTGTTTTGCAGTGTCCTTTCTGGGTTTCCTGATCCAATTCCCTGCTCAAAGGCCACCTGTGAAGTTAAATTAGGTTGCTCAAGGTCATCAGTATTACTGGTGCTGCTTCCTCTATAAAGAGCAGGTTGGAGGCCTCTTTCCAGGGATGATTATAAACCACCTCAGTTGGGAGAGTAGGCAGTACTGGCTTATGTCTTTGGATATGACCATTCTTCCACCCAGATGGGCTTCTGCCCACATGTGCGCATTATGAATAAAGCTATCTCAAATCCTAAATGATCCTCTCCAACTGGTGCATCATGAGCATGGAGTTTTATGTGTTAGCACCTCTGTGGGATGTCCCACATAGGGCATTAGTTTTCCTGGCTTGAATTCATCCGACCTAACCTGAGGCATTTGAGTTTGGTGCTTCGATGCCATTGGGTCCTATCAGTGGAAAAGGGTGGACATCTCCAGATTGCTTCCACAGGGCAATGCAGAAAGCTCTGTTCTTCAGTGGCACTATAAGGAACGTGACTAGTTACCATCTGGAATAGATGTTTGGCTGAGATGTCTAAGACCTAGATGGTCTTTGTGTTCACCATCAAAGACAGGTTTGCTTATATCCTTCACCTGGGTACTTTTTACAGCATGTTATGGTCTAACACTGTGAAAGAAAGGTGACAGGTCTTCTCTCTAATTCCACTTGAGTCCTAGCCTCATTGGTGTTGGTGGCAAAACTCTCACTGACTTCCACTGTCATGTGAATTTTCTCTCCTTTTCTGTTTTCGTCTCTTCTTAGTTTTGTAAGAATCCTTGAGTGGACATTATTTCAATTTAGAAATACATAAGGTAGCTGTTAGAAAACAGACCTGTGATGCTGAGTTTTGCAAGCAGATGAAGTATTTGTGCATATCTAGTATGTTCTGGATATAACTCTTTGTAAACATTTAACACTTTGTTTTTTTCCAGATTATGACCTGTATTTTGACTGAGCAGAGAATAGTTTTCTTCTCTTCTGATTGGTCTCTGCTGACACTCGTTGCTGAATGCTTTATGTTGTACCTTCATCCTCTTCAGTGGCAACACACTTTTGTGCCTATTCTGTCTCGTCAGATGCTGGATTTTGTAATGGCTCCAACATCTTTTCTTATGGGATGTCATATTGATCATTTTGAAGAAGTTAGCAGGGTATGTTTTTTAGGCTATTACCACTCTTGCTGTTCACTTTTGACGCATTTGTCACTGTGTTTCTTTCAGATGTATCTAGAAACTCGCTTTTGTTATTTAGGTGTGTGAGAAATGAAGAAATTAAAAGTAATGGAACCATACTGATGCGACCACTGGCTTGTTGGAAAAAGCTTATTGTTGTATCCCTTACCTTTCTTTTCTTCGCAGGATAATATGATCTTTGTGAGTTCACGTTTCACTTGGGGAAAAATTCTACTTGTGTATAATTTGTATCGTATAAATACTTTCCCTTCAGATTGGTGAGGTTATTTTTTTGCTCAGAGCTGTGTGAGATGAATTAGGAGCCTTTTCCAGGCATCTGGTTAAGAATTGAGCATGCATTTGAAAATACTCTAATGATGCTGCTGTTCCCCATGGTGGAGTTAAGTATTTAATAAAATAAGAAAGAAAAAGCAATGTAAAGAGTGTAATCTCACAATTTTTCTGAGGGGTTTTTTGGTTGTCTTTTTTTCAGAATCTTATTTAACTAAGCCTCTCTCAATTGGTAACATTCATCTTGGATACCCAAAAAGATTTAAGAAAAACTCAGCTTCATAGGGCAGGGCTAATGTGAATATACTTTTTTGAGGGTGTTGCATAAGTTTTCAGTGAGTGTTCAAAACCAAACATAGAAAAATTGTGTAAGTTTATATTGGATTAACCCATCTAATTATAAGACAAAGTGAAACTGGTCCATCTAGTCAAGTCCAACGTGAGTGAAGAATTAAATTAAGATGAAATATTTTTTTTTTTACTTAGCAGTAAGATGATGACACTATTGGAAGTACAGCTTACAAACCACACTTTTCTTTTATATAATATGAAAGATTTTATGTTTGTTTACACATACTGTATTTCAGTCTGATCTTTAAGTTTATTAAAATTGCAAACTGATGGATCAGCATGTTTGTCTGTTACCGTGTGTTTCTGTGTTAGAGACTCTAATACATAAATGCTTCCACTCCCAGTCACCTCACAGGGTAAGTACAGGAGTAAGAGTTGTAAATAAACTCTTAGGGAGCTTCGTAGCTTACAGATATATATGGTTTTGTACATCTCTTCGTATGTATATGTTTTCAAGGATAAGCTTGAATATTATTCAGAATTAAATATTAATTTAATACTGTATGAAGAGCATATTGGGTTACCAAATGTTTGTGTGCAGAGATTAATATCTATTAATTTAATGACAGTTATTGAAAGTAAGTGTTTAGTTATCTGTGCAATCTTCTAGTTAGGAGTCAAAAAGAAGTCAATTGTTTTCTAGTTTATCTTCTTGCTGAAATAATTCATTGCCTGACGACTATATAAAGAAGTAGTAAATGTCTGTACAATATAAGTATATTTACAGTCATTCTATTTTCTTTCGTTAAAAGGAAACTGAAGACTTAATTCTAATTGATATTGATAATGGAGATATCACACATTCAAAAATGGCTGAAGAGGAGCCTGAAATTCCAGATGTTCCAGCACAAGCAGCAGAAACTTTCATAAAAAGGTGAAAAGATGGTGAAGTTGTGTTTCTTGTAGTGCGTAAGTCATGCTTGGCCCTCTTTCAAAGTTTTCTTCTTCTGTATTATTTGTTATTATATTATTTCATTAATATAAAAACACCTGTTTTGATAAGGGCAAATTGAAAATTTCAGTTAATTAATATACAGCTAATTTCAAGCAGTCATAGTCATAACTATATTATTTTGCAACACCTGTAATGCTTGTTTCTTTTTTAGTACTGATGTGGATTATTCTCTGAGCTTTACTGTGAGTGTACAGTGAGTTACATGTCTTAGTAGGACTTCCAGGAATCTTGTTCGCTTGTCAATACTTGCAAATCAGTCTTGCACTTTATCTAGCTGTAAGATGGGTGAGGCCTAAGTGACCTTTTCTTTAAAAGGTATGAAAAAAATTGTCGGTGTTAGGATGTAACTTGATAATTTTCTTGTCTGTGTAGAGTGGAGAGTCTTCAGCTGCATTATGATCTAGAGCTCTGCCATCTCCGAGCCAGCACGGATCTTGGTGAACTCCAAATGCGTAGAAGGGCTTGGCAACAGAAACTGAATACAGAAGTTCAGCAAATGACTTTGCAGTTAATTGTTAATATCTTCAGGTGAGTGGATATAGTATTTTTTATTATAAGAGCATATGGTAATGGTTAAGACACTTCCACTGTCACTGAAAATACTCTTTTTCTTGTCTTACTTTATAGATATTTTGTAAATCTCTTTATGTAAATCTCTAAGTTTTGTGAGGGAATATGAGAAGTGGGACCTCCTAGCCTGTTGGCTATCAATAATTATGGTATATCAATAATTAGTGTATTTGGGTACATATACATTGCTAGGACATCTTAGATAAAACTGTACTAATATACTACTAATTTTGAATTTGTATGTCTTCTGTGTGAAGATTCCAGGAAGAGGAGTGAAGTCCTCATATTTCGTAATTAGGAAAAACTTAAGGCCCAGTAGGGATATCAGTTTGTAACTGGGCACAGTCTTGGTCACTCTTGCTAGAGGAAAATAAAGGCAAACCGGGACAGGGTAGAAGAGCTGAAAGCAGGATCGGGAGTTCAGGACACCTGGGCGTGTTTTGGCTAACTGAATATATGCTGAGAATGGATGAGCTATCTGGAGAGCACAACCACATGAGACTGAAGGAGGGAGAGGAGCTTTTTAAGGTCAAGGACAGAGTGCTGGCACAAGAAATTCTGGGTATTGGGTGTGGTTTGGACTGACATTTTAATAGTGATGTGGAGTAGGTTTTGTTTCGTTTGTTTTTTTAATGTAGAAAAAGGTCCAGCTATGCTAATTTTCCTTGTTCTTAATCTATTGCAATGTGTTGTTACGCACAGTTGCTTTATCTTACTAGTTGTAAATCCTGCTATTATTTGCTTGTATTTGGGAAGGGAATGGAAGTGTGGTAGGTGATTTGTACGAAAAGGTGCAGCAAATGGATGTCTGGTTTGTGTATGCTTCATTTCATTTTACATAGATACTAACGTACTTGACCACAAAAATGAAACTGCCTGCCTGGCATTTCTAAAGAATCTGATTCTATGGACAGAGGTCTGCAAAGAGCTGTGCAGATAAACATCCCCAGCTGTTTCTTGCTGCCTCTGGCTGGAGACTGTGCTCCCCTTTGGATCAGCTGCCAAATTGCTTACATGAATGCTCCCTAACACTTTCAGTCGGAAGGTGTGGGCTTAATTTATATAGTCCAAATACCAGGCCTCTGTTAACCTGCGCTCGCTTTTGTTGGGTCAGCCGAGGGAGTGTCCATACAAGTGGCTGGGACCTCCAGGAGGACAATAGCTGCTGGATGTGGAGGATAGGACAGACTTTACAGCCAACTGGATATGGAAACTGAAATGCACATACAACCTCATGTGCTACCACTGTGGGATTTGGTGGATTTCAGTGTTTGGCAACAACATGTTCCAGATAAAGATAAGGAGAAATGCATTTTTGTTGTGAACAGCTTGAACTCTAATGCACTAAACACTTGGTTACAAAAAATGAGCAGATGCTTTGTTCTCTAAGAGATAATATGTTTTGCAAAGGGGTTGATTCTTCTCTTGCTTTCTTTCTCTTTTCCTTCAACCTTTCTTTCTTTGTTCTTTTTTCAGCCTTGTTTCTTCTATCTTCTAACACTGTATCTACCAGCGTCCAGGAGTGAAGGAAAGTAAATCTCTGATGCAGTTGTGCTGCCAGTTGTTGCTGTCTTCAGTGAAGCACTGTAGTATTTTTGTGTGTGTGAAGGTTCCACGTTTAAAGAAAACAATGCTAAATTATGTAGTATTATGTAGAACTACGTACTTCTACTAACTATCTTTTTTCTGAACCCATGTGGCTTGATAAGCTGTTAATGGGCTTTTATCCCTTGTATAGATTATGTATTGTGATAAAAGTGATGTATAGACCTGTCAGTTCTCTGCATGGATACAAGATTCCCCTTTTGTGCTTACATTCAAATTTTAGCTCGCCAATTTATTTTCTTCATTCATGTATTTTCATGGGAATTTCTTATTCCTCAATACCCAGCATGAGTAAATGAAATGAGATGTAATAATAAGAGCCCTGCTTTTAGCCACTTACACATATATAGCTTAAATAACTTACCATTTCTTGCTCATAGGCTTCAGTTCAGAAAACAGCTTTTTTCTGAAAAAATCCCACTTTCTGCTCCTGAAACAATGCGTTCTGGCTCACCTTTAGGACACAGAAGTTACTATTGATAATATATGGCCTCTGCTGCCTGCTGTGACCATACGTATACTAAAATATGCATCTTTTTTTAATCTTGCTTTCTCTTTTATTCAATAGTTCAGTCTCTTTAGTTTAACACAATTGCCAGTTATTGCTGGCTTTATGAGCAGAGTTTGACAGTGCAGCAAAAAATTACGTAATCTATAATATTTCATGTGCATATTACAGATGCAATGTGATCTGACCTCACACTGTCCCATTAAATCTTTCAAATTCCCTATGTGGATAAGTACACTTGTCTTTTTAGTGCTCTAGATGGATTGTACATGATTCAGGCACTGTGTATGTAAATGTGGTTCCAGGGTTGGAGCCTAAGTCATGACTTAAATATGTAGGTTTTCCTCCATGGTTTACTAAAATTGATCCTGCAGACAAGATCTTAAGTGCATTTGCTGGTTTGAAATGGCAGTGGCAGCAGGTAGCCTGTCTTACTACTTATAAGGAGTTTGGATTCTTTTTCTGTGATTCAGTAATGCAGACTTGTTCATTAAAACTGAGCTTGCCTTCTGATACTGCAGCATATTTCTATGTTGCCTTCTGATGCTGCAGCATATTTCTAGTAGTACCAGTGGGCTGCTGCTACTGCAGAAGTGCAACTTGCTTACAAATCTCCAAGCATATTTATCAATTTATTTATTTTTGTCCCCAGGGAGGTAAAAGACCATCTAAATTACGAACACAGAGTGTTTAACAGTGAAGAATTTCTGAAAACAAGGGCAATCGGAGACCAGCCATTTTACAAAAAGGTAAATTCAGTGTTAAATATGTTGTAATTCTCTGTTATTAATCTGTATTTTTAGGATTAATGCCAAATATTAATAGAATGGTCACAGTTTGGTCTGTGTGGTGTTGTTGAACCACCAGCTTTCACAGAAAGCTTTACCAAATGTATTTACTATGAACTGACAAAATAGTAGACAGCATTTTGGAGAGCAAGGTACTATGTAATTCCAGAGCAAATTAATTGTAACTCCTTGGGGGTGAGATTAACCTATGGCAGATAATCAGTAAAGCTGCATCTAAACTGTATTTTGAGCACAGGCACCTAGCCAAACTGTTTGGACCAAATCAGACTGTTTTGGTCTCTTCTCCCAAGTAACTAGTGATGGAACGAAGGAAGCGGCCTCAAGTTGCGCCAGGGGAGGTTTAGACTAGGTATTAGGAAAAATTGCTTTACTGAGAGAGTGGTCAAACAGTGGAACAGGCTGCCCAAGGAGGTGGTGGAGTCACCATCACTGGCGGTGTTCAGAAAACATGTAGATGTGGCGCTTCAGGACGTGGTGTAGTGGGCATGGTGGTGTTGGGTCAATGGTTGGACTTGATGATCTTAAAGGTCTTTTCCCACCTTAATGATTCTGTGACCGAAGCCCATACATAGACGTGAGCTTTCAGCAAGCCTGTGAGCACAGCAGAAGGGAGATAAATGACACAAGTCGAAGTACCTGCTTTATCTGCAGCCTGAGCAACAGGGCACGGAATTGATGATGGCCATGAGCCCATTTCCCACAATGCATGCTGATGACTCTGAGCACATGAGTGGTGGCACTGGTGTCCTTAGGGGCCTGCCGTGTGACAGGGCGTACAGGACATAGGTTGATTTAGGTGATGTGCTTTACCAGGTAGAATAACTGTAACTTACTTTTATGTGCTGGTGAAGCCCATGAAGTCATACTCAAATAGTATGTAGCCTCGGGCCAGGCCCAATAGTGCTGGAGGCTAAAGGTCACCCTGAAACCCCCACTTGTTTGTGGTGTGTTTTGTTTTTTTGTTTTTTTGTGGGTTTTTTTTTTTTTAGCCCTCCTGCTAACTGAGCTTATTAGCTAGTTAGCAGAGTTTGAAACCCTGAAGGTTTCCATGCAAGCCCCAAGTCCCTGTTGCACCTGCCCTGATCAGCATGGTCCTTCTGTTAGTGTAAGGTTGATCTGCTGAAGCTCCAAAATGACTCAGTTTTCACCCAGTGTATACAGTGAACCAAGTTTTTATGAAGGATGCAGGTCTGTTGCCCTCTGTGTGTGTGTGAGTCTGCCTTTTAGGTAATGGCTTTTTATATCCGAAGGGAACGGGGTGGGTTTAATTTCCTCATTAAAAGGAGAGTGTCTTGGTCACTAGGCTGTAGGATTTAGAGCAGTTCTCCATGCCTTTGGTGTAGGATTGTCACTGACCATCAAAGGTTGGAGAACAGAAGGAGAGGAGCAGGGAGAGAAGGAGGGAGACTAAGAGTATGCAGGTTCCTGCAAGAGTGTCTTGCAGTGTTAGGGTACTTTGCCCAGAAATGGGAAGGTGGAGAATTTCATCCTTCCAGTTGATACTGTTGCTTTACATAAAACTGTTTGCACATGATTAAATTAATATTTGCCTTCAAAGAATTAAACTAAACTGTAGTGTATGTGAGGAACAGAATTTATACGTTTTAAGGGTTTATGTCGAGCCACGTGCAGTGTTCTAGGAGAATTTGGTGCTGACACAGCAAGCCAAAATCCAAAGTAAAAAACTCTTGGGATTTTTTTAAAATGTCATGATTATTAACCAAATAAAAAGTTTACCTTAGTTAAATAACTGTTTGGGATACTATCACCCTAAACTGGGAGTGTTTATGGTCAATACCTAATTTCTGAAGGGATGCCAGTTCTCAGCTTCTTGCATCCTTTGATGCAATTTACATAGTTTGTTAACAGACACTTTATTAAGTAGCTTCTTATTCTAACCAACTCTAAGACGGGCTGTTATTTAACCTTTGCAAAAATAAAATACTGAGTTTTGTCTTCATTTTTTTTTGGTGTATAGCTTGTTTAACAAACCTGTGGGTCAAAGCAAAGGTTTAACAAGGAATCTAAAGAAAGTGCATCTCTCATTTTACATTTGCTTTTAATTATGTTCCATGGGTGCATATGAAAGTTACAGAGGATTCCTTTGCTGCTAGAATTTGGCAGTTGGCTCTCTGGAATAACTGTTTTACACCTGGCAAAAAGGTCTCTTCATTAACATCAACAGGCTGTGGTTGATAACACCTTTTTTGTTTCCTGTTTTGTTTCCTACTTCAAACATATGATAAGAAAAGTTTCTGAACATCCATTTAAAGGAGATGTCAGTGTGTGAAGGAAATGATCAGAAAAATATCTCATGTAACTTCAGCCATGGTTGCCAAACTTGGTGGAATGTCTGGCAATTCAAAGATAATAAACTGATGAATCCTAAATAGGAAATAATTTTGTTGGATAAACCTTGCAACAGTAGCAAACATTCATAAAAACAAAGGAAAAATTAAAAAGAACCTGTTAATACATCATCAGGAGAGAAATTAATTGGAAATGTTCTGACCAAGATTTCAAATGAACAGAAATAATTAAAATATTTTCAGTAGCAGTTTCTAATGATATAAATGAAATGGTGGCAATTTTATGAACTGAAATTTAAAATTCATATGTGCACGTTTAAGCTTTGAACAGGTTACTCACTTAAATACCAACTAAGATAGTGGCAGATTTGCTTTCAAGTAAATCTTAGAAGAAAACACAATATGGAATAGTTACTAGTGGTAGCTAGAATTATATTACGAGAACTCCAAAAACCATTAGAAAGGACTCTTTCCGTTCCTGCAGCTTGTCATCTCCTGTGCAAACAGTTGCCAACAAAATATGCCATCTACTGGAGAAACACTTAAAAGCAGAAATCTTAATGCTTATTTAGATACCATTTTACAGGATGCATTGCAAATGGATGGATGAGAAGCATCTTGAATATGAATAACGTATTGGTGGAATGTTTCCATTAACTTCAGAATACCTGGATTACTCATTAATCTTTCCCATTTGCTTTCTAAAAACATCATAGAAATACACTGATCAATGAGGGGGTTTCTTGGGGGGAGTAGTGGTGTCGTGTCCCATCCCCCCCCAGTGGTAAGTTGGAAGACCAACAAGGGTACTTTAGGCAAACCTCTGGGATATGTCATTAATCAAAGTAATTTTTCATAGTTACATTCAAAGACACAACTGTCCTTCTGTTAGTAAGTTTGTAAAGGCTGGAGGCTGTATAAACGTGAAGACAGGATTCCTAGTTATAACAATATTGTCTCCTGATGAAGTTTGCATTTGATTTTTCTGAACAAATTAGTTTTCCGATTTGTTTATTTCAAACAATACTAGGAGCCCTAGAACTAGCTAGAACTAACATTTGTGTAGTACACATGTTGTATTGCCTCAAATCCCAGGTTTCATCTTGTTTTAATTTGCAATGGTGGGAGATGGTAGCTTTCCACTTTTTTTTTAATTCACACTTGGCATTTTTTTTATGTTGTCTTCTATCCTAAAAGTAGCAATTTGACCTTTTAGAAACTATTTCTGAATGACACACACCATAATTACCTGAGCAGGGAACAATTTTGGGGGTTACCAGGAGAAAAGATGACTCACTTATCCTTTCAGTTTGATGACATAATGTTAGAGTGCCACAAACTTCATATTCCAAACCATAGACAATGTTATCAGCATTTAGTTAGAGGCAGAAAATACACTGTTAAACTTCAGTAGCTAAAACTCTTGTTTTCCTCAGTATTTCTCCTTTTTGTTTGGTTTCATCTTTTGGAGGGTGCTCCAAGGCTACTCTTTGCCACTAAGCAAATATCATGAAGGTGCAGAAGGTGAATGGAAGCTGAGTTAGTTTTCTGTTGTTAAAGCTTTCAAATGTTTTTGGTTTTGTGATTGCTAAATTGGAAGTTCTCAGCCTTGCATATGTAATGGTAATAAAAATGAGGAAAATACGCTAATAAAAATGTAGTTTGTAAATGATCCACAGTTAACCAGTTTGTGTCTCACAGGTTTTAGAGACCTACATGTTTCACTCTTTTCTTAAAGCTCGTCTGAACAGAAAGATGGATGCTTTCGCTCGACTTGAGTTGAGTACCCAGTCTGAAGAGGATAGGTAAAGTTTTCTCATTCCTTATTCTGGTTTTGAGTCTTCTGTTGGTATCAGTGATAAAAGCCCATTTGACTCTATTGGTATGAGATCAGATCATCTATGAATAAGATTATGACTAATTGACAGGCCATTTTATTAAGATTACTGTAAAAGCGTGATACAAACATGTCCAGCCATGGCTGTTGAAATTGTAAATTGGTACTGTAATTGCAATTTAATACTATTATACAGAAAAAAATAAAATCAAGTAGTAATTTAGTGTGTGTGTGTATGTATACTGAATTTTAAAACTAGTTATATTTTTTTTTTTCTCAGATTAAACTTGATGTTTCATACCCCGAGAAGACTGACTATGGAGAAAATGGCTTCTAAACGATTTAATCCACAGTACATGATCAGTAGGCGTATGGTAATCAGTATGCCTAATCTGCAAGATATCAAGCTACCAGAGGGCCCTACTAGAAATTCCTCACTTCGAAGAATAGAAACAGGTGTTGGTAAGGGAAGAATGTGTTGAACAGATACGGTGTCTTTTCTGTTGTCTTTATGGGTGGTGTCATTGAATAATTTACACAGAAACAGTGTCAGATCCTGGAAAGAAACAGTGAGCTAGATCATTTTGAGCTGAGGCCCATCTGTGCTTCTCCTCGCATGTTAAATACATCTGTAGCCTGCTGTAAATTTTGCTGTACCACAAAAGACTGATTGGTCACAATAGGATTGATATTGCAGAAGTGCTTCCCGAGTTAGTAACCATGTTCCGTCCTCACCCACCTTATGTCCAGGTCTCCACTGCCTTTAAACATAGGCTTAGGCTTATCACTGTTTAACAAAGTGAGTCCTATAGGAACTGGATGGTTTTGGTTTTGTTTTATTTCTTTTTTTCTTTTTTTGTCTTTACCAGAATTGATATTATCAGATTCGGGAATATTCTGATAATAAGGACGTTGAACATAGAACTATATTTTTGTCCCTAGCACAACTGTAATCTTACTTGAATTTCGTGTGCTGTAATTGCTTGTTGCTGTGATGGGGATTCTTTTTGTTGTTTGTTGTATGGCTGGTTGTGAAGATACTCTGACTTTTACTCACTGCTTATAGAAAACAATGTACTTTTTCTTGGTTTGTTTTTAGCTGTGAAAATGCCCTCCAAATCAGTCAGTACATTCAAAATCCCAGAAATTCACTTTCCTCTGATGTCCCAGTGTGTTCACTCCTACTATACAGACTTCTTCAACCATCTCAGCAAAGCTATAAATACCTCACCACCCGATAACTCAGCGTTGCTGGCGAGGTACTTCTACCTCCGGGGACTTATTAGCTTGATGCAAGGGAAACTACTAAATGCACTTTCTGACTTTCAGAACCTAGATAAAACAGACTTAAGAATTTTCCCTACTGATCTTGTAAGGAAAATAGTGGAAGTCATGCCTCCTTCTGAGCGTTCGCAAGCAGACCGCAGACCTGAGCTGAAGAAGCTGATAAGTCGAGTGATGGAAAAACAAAGAGAAGTTATGAAAATAGATGACCATGTAAAAAATTTTGAATTGCCGAAAACACACATGCAACTAGATGACTTTGTGAAGCGAATCCAGGAATCTGGGATTGTCAAAGATATAGACACTATACATCGATTATTTGATGCCCTAACAGTAGGTAAGTGTAAGATACATTTTTAGCGACCATTTGTATTGGTGCAATGACAATTTCAAATAATTTTTTTTTATAAACCAAAAATAATTTTTGTCTTCAGTTGTTTTTCTTTTTAACTGTTATTCAACATTTTCTGGTCCTCTAAAAACTCACAATATGATGAGTGTTCTTTATGGACAATTTTATTTAATTAGGATAATTGTGGAGAATAAATTTGATGTATACAAGAATGTCTATACTTGCATCCACAATAAAGACAAGGAATCTATAATTGGGCACACAATTTACAATTTGTTGTGTTGTGTAGGTGAGGTAGTTCTGTGATCTGATGGTGTGCAGTTCTGCTTTGGCTTAGATTATGAGTAAAGCGAATACAAGACTGTCCTAATTGCTAATGTAAAAAACCTCTGTGTTATAAAACCACTAGGTAACATGTGTCGTGGTTTAGCCCTAGCCGGCAGCTAAGCCCCGCGCAGCCGCTCGCTCACTCCCTCACGGTGGAACAGGGGCGAGAATAGGCAGAGTCAAAGTGACGAAAC